CGGTACGTTCGACCCTACTGTACGGTTGTGAAACCTGGCCGCTTAAAGCAGCGGACCTGAAAAGGCTAGTTACGTTCGACCACCGGTGCCTTCGCAATTTAGCTCATGTCTGGTGGGAACACCGCGTGAGCAATGAGCGTGTTCGAAGCCTTGTTTACGGCACAGCAAAAGGAAATGAATCGCTCAGCGCCGTCAGTTCACGCACCAGGCTCCGATGGCTGGGTCAGGTGGTACGCATGCCAGCCTACCGACTCCCGCGATATGCGTTGTTTGCAGACCGGGGGTGTGGGTGGAAGAAAAGGAGGGGTGGCCAAGCGATGACTTGCTCGAGAGGAGTGAAGGCCCTCAATTCTGCGCTGGCCTCGGTTGGAGCGCCACGGCTCCCTGGTTGGGGTCCGAAAGACAATGAACACGTTTGGCTGCATACACTTGCTGATATGGCTAGGAGCCGACCTCAGTGGCGTTCGTGCGGTGAGTTGCTTTGTCCCACCCCATCTCTCTTAGCCTCCCCCTCCAACACGATCTCATTATTTAGCCTCATTTAATTTTGCATAGTAATTTTTTTGATGCACATTTGCCGGCTAGTAGCTTAACGGAACGATGCCCATCCGTTACCGGTAGCTCAGCCGGCTTGCACCAGTTGCATATTTTTTCTTCTATATATTGCGACACAGTAGCTGAGGTGTTTCTCACCTCTAGCTAACGTGTATGATGATGATGATGATGATGATGATGATGATGATGATGATGAGTGGAATAGCATTTCGGCAGCCATGCACGACGCAGAAGCATCTGATTATGATAGTATCAATCGTCACCGCACCAGTCACTGGATATCGGAGAGGTCGGTGAAACTGTTAGCATCTAGAAAACCTCACGGCTGACTCTGAACACAATGGGAACAGAAGCGATATTAGGCGCCAACTAAAGCTGAGCCTACGGGCTGGAAAGGAAGCCTGGTCGACCAGTCGGGCTCAAGAAATGGAGGAGGCAAGCGCAATAGGCAATTACCTCAAGCTCTTCAGCTAAGCCGCACCACTGGTGCCAGAAAACCAGGCGTCAGTGAGACAAGCAGAGATAGCGCGTGTGCACTGATATACAATAAGGAGCGCCGTATGGCTCTTTGGGCGGAACACTTGTAGGATCAGTTTCTAACGCCCCCTGCTCCCGGACTTCTTCCTACTCAGGTGATGCAGGACGAGCCATGGACGGTTAGTTTAGAGCCTCCGTCGGAGGCCGCGACCCGAAACGCGATCACAGCCCTCAATCGTTTTTGTTCCACTGGCCCGGATTCCCTCGCACCTTCATTATTTAAAGATGGATGGATGCAAAGCACTGACCCTATTCGAATGTATCTAGAAGGAAGAGCGTCCTGGCTAACTGAGCGGATTGGTTACAGTGGCAATTTACACGAACGGCAGTCGCACAGACTGTTCTAACCACAGGGGTATTAGGCTAACGCCAGTTGTGACAACATTACTGGCCAAGATTCTTGTTCATCGCCTCACTGTGGAACCGGAATCTCGGATTAGGGAAAAGCAGGCAGGCTTCCGAATAGGACGTGGCTGTATAGAACACGTATTCGTTCTGCGGCAGATGCTAGAGCAGCACCACGCATACCGCAGACCGAGAGTAGTTATAGTCCTCGATTTCAAGAGAGAGTTCGATTCCGTCGATCAATCGATTCTGCTGGAAATACTTGCCCGGTAAGGTGTTCCCATGTGCTCTATACTTAAACACTACATATGGCGTCAGGGTCCACGGTGGCCTGTCGGAGAGTTATCCGACCCCAAGTGGTGTTCGTCAGGATTTTCCGATTTCTCCGATTTTGTTCAATTTTGTCATGGACTCTATCACAGAGTGTTTCCTTACATAATCTCACAATGTAAGTTTTGAGGTCCTGCATGGCGAAAGGTAACTTGGTCTCGATTATGCGGACGACGTCGTTTTGCTTTTCGACGATGTTGCGGCGGCACTACCAACCCTGAATAGTCTGTCCAGAGTAGTCAGATTATTTGGTTTGTGCCAAGTGTTGCTGCAGGACCACCAGCCCCTTTGGGACCCCTTGACCCTTGCTAACGAGGAACTCGAGCTGGTCGATCAATGCACTTACCTTAGCAGTTGCATCAGCAACGATGGACGCATAGAAACTGACGTCAGTTCGCACACTGTAAAAGCCAGAACTGGCTTCTTGAACCTGCGACATCTTTATCGACAGAAGGGAGTTTCCCTCTGTCTGAAAGGCCGTGTTCACAAGGCAACAATGAGAGCGATTTCGCTCTATGGTAGTGAAACTTTGCCCCTTCGGTCTGAAGATCTGAGGCGTCTTCAAGCCTTTGGTCATCGTTGTCTGCGAAGCATTGCTGGTGTCGGATGGCACCAGGGGGTCTGCAACGATGATTTGCGCAGGCGAGTACTAGGTAGTAATAATCAGGTAAGTTCCCTAGAACAACAGATAGCACTGAATAAGTTTCTTTGGTTTGAGCATTTGCTACGTATGCCTAGTCACCGCTTACCTAGGAGAGTCTTGGTTAGTCTGTCAGGTGTAGGGTGACGCAAGGCTCGAGGTGGACAGAAGTTGACTTGGCAGTGGGAAATGAAGTCACTGACGACCAAATTGGGTGCCGCCGATCCGTCTGCCCTTCCGGGCTGGAGTACACGTAACTCGTCTTATGCTTGACTCCAGACTTTACTGGATATGACACACAGTCTGCACCAGTGGGGCCTCTGCTGCCGTCTCCTAGTCGTATTGCCTGTTTAAAGTGTGGTTGATGCTGAGTTATTTGCCGGGTGATGACTGATTATGACGCGTGGCAGTGGAAGTCGCAAGGAAGCTGTCTCGCCGATGCCGCCTTATCTTTGCACGATAGCCAGCTCTTTGTGACAGCATGTTGTATACACCAAGTGTAGGCGCTTGACCCTGAATGTTCGTTTAGGGCAGCAAAGCTGTCAGCTAAGTCCTCTTTTCTCTCCCTCTTATTATTCTTTATTCCATAGGTCATCATGTTTGTATGGCGGCGAAGCATCAGTTCAAATGGCTGATATACTGCTGATGATGTAGGTATGTACGTATGCGCCAATTTCACGTAAGGTGCTGACGCCATCAATAGACACATTTGGCCGCGCCATAATCGGATTAATCCCATCTCAGTGTTTGCGATTCTATTTTGTCACCACAGTTCGCGCTTTTCGCTGTTCTCGCAGACCTGTAGCGATAAGCCGTGGTCTTAGGATCATCGTCGGCGGTCACCCTATTACATATGAGTAGACAGGTAACCCTCTACCAGTGTTCGCCTTCTCACTGTGCTATTCAAACAACATACATGATACGACGCACCTAAATTTGGAGTGACCAAACAAATTTGACGCTTAACTTGAAGAACAGACACTTGGACCAAGTGTCCGTGGCAGATTACTCCTTCCAATTAGTCGCTCTTGGATGTATATAGGAAGTATCAAGCAGGTCGTTTCGATTGCCTCATTCGAACAACGGGAGCGGAAGTTAAGCGTGACGACAGACAATTTCTAGCTGAGTCTAGTTAGTTCTGATAAACTCACCGGTAGACTTTTGCCTACAAAGCAAGCCGACGGCGACGGGAAAATGGGGGTTGAGGGGGAGGCAGAGAAGCTGAACAATTTCACACTGAAGCTATTGTGACACAGGTTCTTTTAATCTCAAAGTCCGAGTCCTGCTTGTTTCGCCTTAATAGCTGGCTCTGAAACCACATATGAACTGGTATACAAAGTCAAGCTGGCAGCGAATGTCTGAGCTTCTTTCCTTGAAGGCACCAGTGGATCTCGGGCCCAGTTGATGAGTGTATTGAATAGACGTGGGCCCGGTCATATAAAACATTTCTAGGAAATATTACCACGAAAAGTTCAGACTACTTGGAACCACATGACGCAAAGGTAAAAAGCGAAAATTGCTGTGATTGCTGCATAGTGGGGATGATTATCTATCGACCGATTAGCGTTCCGAACAACGAAATCCTGCTTAATCTATTTTTCATGCACAGCAGTCTCGGCTTAACAACCGAATCGCGTCACTTCTGAGATGTGTTATTACGGTGAGCTGTGTGTGTGTGTGTGTGTGTGTTCAAAATGGGAGTTATGTGTACCAAAACGACAGTCGGATCCAGTCAAAGTAACATATTAACAGGTGGGGAAATAGCCCTCATTCTGGATGTGCAGTTATGATCTTCACCGAAATCATATTGGCTTCCATTTTCGGTCGTCAAGCATTAGACGAAAGGTTACGTAACAACTCGATAAATGCGGGACTTAGGTTCTTTACATTCACCGAGGATTAACCGTTGTAACGGTGCTTTGTACTTGACAAAGGCAGTTCCCTAACCAATTTGTAATACTCAGCCCATACGTAGATCCTATTGCTGCCGGAGTCGATGCATGGGGAAAAATACCTCAGCAGTTGATACCTGGTTCGTCAGTCCTATTTACTTTTGTTTGCCTACGAAAAAGGCACCGATCGTCTACTGCTGTTGTCCACGACAGTGATCACTGAACGCGAGGTGTATGGATATGCTAAAGTGAGGCGTTTACTGCACCCTTTCCAATGCGACTATACCGTATTTGAGACTACGACGAGCTGGATGTGGCTACTTTACAGAAAAGTACATAAGTGAAGAATACAGTCAAGTATCAGCATTATGGTGTTTTATTAGACTACGAGTTATTTGATTATAATCGACTATCTGCATCGGCAATCTCTGGAGTATGTGCTTCTTACGGATACGACGTGGGATGCTGACTTTCAGGTAATCATTTAACGTAGAACAGATTCACTTAGATGCAAACCACTTTGCATGCAACAATGGAAGATGAAACACTGCCAGTGAGTGACTTATAGGACTTACAAGCTCTGAACAGCCCATTCCACTCGACGAAATGGAGTTATCAGATAAAGCAAGAATTAATGAAAGGTAAAACTCGTTAAAGCTGTTCACAACCGTGAAGTGTGATAAACCATTAGGACGACTCACCCGATTCCACTTGTGTGCGGTGCGTGCGATTCGGATGATATGGGTTTGTCTGATGGACTTCTTCAAAGCAGTTAGCAAACAAAGTCACGTCATTAGTGCTTTCGAACTCCCCCGCAGGTGGATCGTTTACATATAAGTACTGCTCAAGACTGTTGTTGAGTTTCTCGGCATTCACTGGGGGACAATAGGTGTGCTGTGTCGGGTAATCAATTGTGGGTCTATCCAGCTGATGGTGACAATTATAATAAGAGTCTGGGCGCCTCTGGGCGGAGGAGAAATCCTCTCCTTTCTGGTTAGAATTAAAAGGGATAGGTACTTCACTTGTGGATGTTGGGCAAACAGCCAGCTGATCGGTAGTTTCTAGTGGAGAAAATTGCCTTTTGTCCATTTGGTCGCCAATGGCTACACCTAGCACAGAAGTAAGCCGTGAGGATGTCGCTTTGAAAGACAAAGGTAACAAAGCTGCTGTAACTACAGCTGTCGCTGCCGCATTGAAATCTGCCGTTAAGTACACACCGTCGATGGATGGGTGGATGCAAGCAGTGCTAACTGACAAATGTATGGGTGGACTAGGCGAGGATCGACGATAAAAACATGCGTGCAGCAAAGCTCCAAAGCATGCTAAACCGAGAATACACCCTGCAGTGAGCGAGGCGTGGTGCTCCGTGAGTAATCCGACCGCAAATAGAATGATAGAGACAAGAGCAGCCAGAAGTAGAATGATATGTATCACATTTTTGAGAATATTGCGCATCAGATGGGAAAGGGAATTGTGAGGAGAGCGTATAAGTTCCAACGGACCGTGAAGATGAGAAGACTTCTGTGCAGGCTTCCATGGCATCGTTTTACTTATGTCACATCATCGAAAGTTTTGATAGCCGACTGTTCGCTCACCTCTATCTTTAAGCTGCACAGCATAATATCCAGTCGACATTTGAATTATGATGGCTGCAAGGAAAGTGTTGAAAACAAGAAGGATAAAAATGTCATTTTGTGTGTCTGCTTCCGTGTACAGAGCATATTCAAGCAAACTGCCAACCTAGAAGGGCTGTTCAAAATTTTGCGATGTGTAGTTACAGATAATAGAAATACTGAACCCCGACAATCTCAAACCGCTCCGTCACATACCGTGACCTGTGACAAAGAGTCACATTTTATGAGTCATGAACTGTTCAAGAAAGACAGCTTGCTGCTTTGTCCAGGAAGAAAGCTATCAATTGCTGCAATGTCGGGTGAGCAACGGAAGTGGTCTTGAGTTTGGTTATAGTTGAAACGTAAAGGGTACGATACCGGTGTACAAACGTGCAAATGCAGCTGACCCATTGGATAGTCGAACGAACTGCCGAAACTGCCATTTTCATCCAGCTATGGAATTTCGACAAAGCACCTCCATCAAGCAGTTGGTAACTCAGCGCTACGTAATTATTAACCCTCAGAAGTCAATAGAAACATTAATCTTCGTTTAGTGCCACCACATATATGATTGGCGGCATCCGGTTTCGGATTTGCCTGTCACTGTGGCCAGCCACAGGACGCCTGTGCCTACAGAGGGATCATGGATGGCTTGCGCTGCACCACCCACAGCTCCAACCACACACCCGAAGGAATAAGTCTGGGAGGCATGTGGATGGGAGCCACGTTCCATCAACGGAGCCGGCCCACACTCCTTCACAGGCAAACACAAGCACACTGTATTTCGGGAATCAAGTGCACACAAGGCGGTGGCTGGACCGTAGTCCGCTCCACAATGAGTGCATGGAACCACTCTTCGAGCCTAGCACGACCACAAGGATAGTGCACCCCGTCCCCTCCAGCAACGACCAACTGTCTCCTGGAGCCAGTATGGATGAGGTAGTGGGTAATAGACAGGTAGGCACTTTATCAACCTGCACATCAAGCGCAGCCGCACCGGGGATATCAAACAACATCCAATCACTTGAGAGAAAGGTAACCAAGAAAGTAATTCGAGTAATGCATAAGGAAACGGTGACATAAATCTTAAATTGATGCGCATATGAAATAAGTTGTTTACCAACGAATACGAGGTAAGTTCACGAAGTCAGAAAGTATACGTTACGGAAATGCCATAAACACGAAAAATAAATAGAAGTCACTTAAGCGACGTGTGCAAGTGTATAGAAGAGAGTATAAGTAGGCAGGTATATGGGAAAGAAAAGCACTAGGACAAAATTGAAAACCCACCATCTGAAATAAAGAGACTTAGCATGCAAGCACACGGTTAGTAAATCGAATGCAGCGTACCTACAAACGCTGCGCCGGTTCTGCCTGCTTTCTCTGCAGGACCCGTCGTCGCTTCAGTAGTGGTCCCGAGTGGCCTCGCTCATGGCTCACTAGGCCTGCCTGACTCAGGCACTCGCGACCGCATGTGCTACAGCACCATGCGCTTGACGTCGATGGAATACAATCCATCGGTGCTTGTCGCTTCCGAAATTGCCGCTTCTTCTCTACATGTATGAGGTCTTTCTCCTGCACTTCGGCGACTGCCTTCGTGATTAGATCGCGCCATGCACGCCGATCAACCGCTTTTGATTCCCATGACCTGCAATCAAGATTAGAACGTGAGAGGCTCACTTTGATCATGTCCTGGTAATGTAACTTTGGTTTCCCCACATGCCGCTTCCCAATACTCAGCTGACCGTATACGAGTTGTTTCGGTATCCGGGTCGAATCCATACGCCACACATGACCGAGCCACCTCAGGTGTCTCAGAAAGAGTATGCAGTCCACTGCATATATTCCACTTCGAAGCAACACTTCCGTGTCTGCAACTCTGTCGCCCAAACTGATGCGCAGAATCCGTCGCAGATACTGCTGATGGAACCGCTCGAGATATCGCACATCCCGACGGTACATTGTGCAAGTTTCACTGCCGTATAGAAGAACGGACAGCACCATGGATTTGTACACCATCAGGTTCGTGCCAATGGTAAGCTGATGGTTGTTCTGCACTCGGTACTCTAGCTTCCCGAATGCCGTCGCTGCCATCGACACGCGGATACGAAGCTCACTGTGTATCTGCTGATCAGTCGACATCACACTCCCAAGGTAGCGGAAGCGAGAGGTGGTTTCCAATACTTCAGCACTAATGCTGATTTTCTACAATATTGAAGATTGCGCCTCAGGTGAAGGCTGAAAGAGACATACAGTTTTTCTTGTCTTGATGGTGAGCCCAAATTTGGCCGCTGTCAAAGCGCTATATATATATATATATATATATATATATATATATATATATATATATATATATATATATATTGTTGCATCATCGTTAGATCGGGCAAATGCGTACAATCACACCTCTGATTCTTGCGAGTTTGCAGCATACTATTTCTCCGCTATAAGTTATCCCGGTGCCATACGCTCCCTAAATCTAAGGTCCGCAAAGTTGCTGTCTAGGAAGTGCTCGAACTCGGACATTGAGTTCGCTTCCAGTAGTTTCTCCGGCATACAGTTGTACTATTTTACCAGTCGCTACTCCAAGCACAGAAGGTGGGCTATTTATTTTTTGTCTGGTGCCACAAGCGTGTACCGGTGGCCGCGGGTACTGATTGGTGAACCAGTAGCCTCAACATGGGAGGCGGTCGGCGTGCAATATCAGATGCGTCATTATTAGGTCCACTCACAACCGACATACCCTTAAATTAGAGAGAGGTCTGGAACCTAAGTGCTGAACCCATTCCAGTCTCTGCACCTCACCACAGGTGATCGGACAATAGACGGGGGATCCATACTCTAGATTAGGTCTTATGATGGAAGAGAAGAAGTGAGTGGCAATCCCTTCAGACCATATGCAGATGCTGCGTTTGAGGGCCCGAAGCATGCACATTCCTTTACTATCTATGGACAAGATGAAACCTTGTGTGAATCTTTCATCGGATTGCAATGTTTGAGTGCGGAAGGATTCAAAATCAAGCTGTAGCCACACCGCATCAACCACCAGGTAGAGATTTGAAAACAAACTGTTCGTATAAGACCATTTGCTCACAAATAAGGAACTCACAGTCTACAAGATATTGATGGATTTCTCGCTAGGACTTAGTAATCATGCACTGATAGTTTGCGGTGCTATGTGTTACTTGAAAGGCCCGGAAGAACATACCTGGCAACTACGTATCAACACACACTCATCATCTTGACTAACCTGGTTGCGATCAGAATGGGGGCTTTTGTAACAAATGACTCCACCGACAGTGCATGAATACAGTTTGTTGTAAGTTTTAACAATCTGATCTTAGAGTTTAACCTTAGCTGCATCAGAGAACAAACCGGGTCGTGCCACCAAAAGATTGTCGTTTATTACAGGCATAGGTAAGAAAACGCATGAGTTAAGAGATGGAGCATAGCATGCTCACAGAGTCCACCGTATTTCCGAAATCTGGAGTGGCTGCGTGACACAATGCACGTACTGTGGCACCCTTCTGTTTGTGAACGAGTTGCTTGAACAACAGTACCTGGCCTGTAACGTCTGCCCTAAGGAAACGCTACTGTACAAGTATGTTAACAGCTTTTGACAAGTGAAGTGCGACGTTTCCTCACTTAATACCAGGGTCTGAGTTGCACAGTGTGATGAAGAAGCAACCAAGGTTTCTCAGGTGCCAAAATCACCAAGCTTCCAATGTGAAGTTCGTCAGGGTTTTCTGGTCAAATTCATCACTGAAACAACGACTCAACGACTCATTGTAACTGCGCCAAACAAAGCACTTTTCTTGCATACACAGTTCTGCAGTAATCGATAAAAATCATTCAAATTGCTGAATGTTACAGCAACAAAGTCAGCTAGTCCCTTGTAACACTTCTTCCAAATGTTTGAATCAATAGGTGGTTCCTATTAGAAGTAGCTATAGTCTCATTACTCTCTCACTTTCACGTATTATCATCGCTTAAAACACTCAAACAATCGCTTCGTGGTCTTGCTCTCTGTGTTTCTGAATGTGATGCGAGTAATCACCACAGAGGATTTAATCAATAATCTGCAACGCATCAACGTTATAACAGAGGATAATCACGGTCTCTGTCAACAGTGATCATACATTGACAGACCCCTGCGAGTTAGTTGGGCAGAAAAGACGGACAGAGAACAGGAATGGATATCGTTAACCGTCGACGGTAGGAATTACCGTATTCTGTTGCAAAGGCTCTAATGCTACGGAAACGAGGATCGTGTCCTAGAGTGGATCGGGATTTTCTTGCGACAGTACTTACTCCAGGTTAGGTCTCAAGGTACCCTATCCTATTTGGTTGTTGTTGAGTGTCGAGTTCTGCAACATCCAATGTGAGGCCGTGCCTATTTTGTGTGTTTACTAACTACTACAGTCCCATGATAGACCTAACGTGTCTCGCTTTCATAAGAGATGTATGAATACGGAGGCGTCGTTCATACTATGCCAGCAAGAACGGTACAGCAGAAGTGAGGAGTCGTACGTGGTTTTGCTCCAGTTTAGTTCCTCGAAATGTAAGGCTTATGACAACGGTTATTGGCCGAGAGGGTATGCCAGCTTGAGGACCACATCCTAGATGCACTCACCCAGTGCCGGTTAAGTACGATCTCAGCTTCTCGAGGGAATCCAAGAAAGTTTCAAAGACCGGGAAGCAGGGCTTCGGTTTGCGGCAGAAGGCAGTCGATTAGAACGATTCTTCCATCTGTCCACAGATACATAAAATCTACTTGTGGCCTCATGTGGACAAGGTTGTTTAGATCTTGGAGCTTTGGCATAGGCAAGGTTTGGCCGCATTTGAGACTCCACAACGACAAACAAATTAAGCGCGTTAAGAGACTGTTCAATTTTCTATATCAACTTAGACTGTGAACCTTAAGATTGT